TGTAGTGTAAGTTCTTTTGATTATTGGAATTCAATATAGTTGTGGGGCGTAAGGGATTGGTTAGAATTTGAGTGCAAAAGAGTTGCCACCAGATTGATGTTCTCAGGTTTATGAAGGAGGTCCTCACATCAGAAGCATTGAGCATAAGATCTCATCGGAAGTCGATTGTCCCCTCCCGGGACAACGAAGTCAGAGTACTGAGGTGCTTGTGTCACTCAACATGGATGTCAGTTGATTGTTGATGGACTCTTTAATCTGATCGCTACCATTTTTAGGGTAAGAGCGGGTAATGAGTGGGTGATGATTTTGGTTGCATGTGTTTGTTCAGACGTTAGGATTGTCAAAGAAATTTTAAATTGTATATGCTGAAGATGTCTTGAAAGAATAAATCCTTCGGCAGGTGGGAGGTTGAGTTGGTGCCATCAGTTCTGGTAAAAGGGTTCATCATTCATTTTCTTTAGTAAGGTCGGCAGGGTGTAGTTGAATCCAAGTAGGGGAGAACCGCTTGGATTTTCGGGGATAGTTTCATGTGTAGAACAAGGAGGAGTTCCACATCCTAGTCAAGAGGAAATCCAGTTTCCGTGGCAGTATAGATAGAGGTTGTACAAGGTTAGGGGATTTAGAAACTCTCAATAATAGGGTGGTGTATTCATAGTGATGCATGGCAGATATGTGATTGGATCTAGGTTGAGGGTTGTGTTAGAGCCTCTTTGCCTGTTCTTGTGTGATGAAGGCTTTGGGGTTCGAAAAATGGCCTGAACACCTGATTGAGATGTAGTCGATGTGGTTTTGACCTGTGTTTGATTATGGGTTGGTATGGTAGATGGAGAGCAAGACCATGAGTTGGGCTCATGGCTGATATGGGAGTATTGTAAGACTACGGGGTAGATGTAGAATACACAAAAATGATAGGCTCCCAGGGAAGTGTTGTAAGTCTGTGATGGAGTCGTAGCATTCACCAGGATGAGATACGCCATTGTAGGAGTGGTTGATGGGCTGAGGGAGGATCAACGCATGCTTGGGGCGAGGCAGACAGTAATGTTAGTAGACCATTCCTTGTTGGGAATCAGGAGTGTTGGATTTGAGGCGATGTTGGGCCTGTATAGCACTCGAGAGGGTAAGACCCGTGGGCGAGGCCCGTTTAGTTATGGTTGTATGGGTGAGACTCGGTAGAAAGTGGCTTGAGTAAGGTTTTGGATCAAATTTAGAGTATGATAACTCAATGGTCAACAGATGGCATCCGTGTGGTGTTTAGACTCAGGAATCCTATAACAGTTAGACTCTTGGGAGGAGTCTCATGGAGTGATTGTGCGCGAGGTTGTCAGACGATTGGGGATTCTATATCTCATTTTAGTAGAAGGTCGTCATGGAATTTCGGATAGAATGCAAGTGTGAATCTTTGGAATTTGGGATGTGAGTTGTGTTCCGGGTTGGCACAAAGGAATGAGACTCGCGTTGGGAGTCCCTATTGTTTATATGAAAGGTCTTTTCGGCAGTAATGTATGGTCAAGGATTCTGTCTGCCAGGGGTATCAGCTGGATAATTTAGGACCGGAGGGATTTCGTTTGGTTCAAATCGCAGAGTAAGGTTATATTGATTGTGTCTCGAAATGATTCTGCATGTGTGGAGGTCAGGTAAAGTATTGGGTTTCAGGATTTCTGGCTGAGAAGTGATGGTTATTCCGCATTTTTTAAAGTTAGTGGGGCAAGGATTCGTTCTCCATCAGGGCGTGTGAGTCCTGCTAAGGCTGTGTTTTGATGGTAGCATTGGACGGTTGTTATGTGTATGAGTCAACATTTAGCCGAAGCGGGATATGCGAATAATTGGTCGAATCGTCTGGGTGCCTGGAAGATAGCAAGGAGTGATTTCGAGGATGAAATCCAGTTTAATTGGGGGAGAGTTATAACATCTTGTTTCGAGAAGCTTCCTATTTCAGGAATTATGGGCATTAATGGATTAAGTTAGGGCGCTGAACTTCAAGGGTTTGGGTTTTGGACCCAATTGAGTGTGGATTATAAAGGTTGTGTGATCCAAGCTTTTGGTTTGTGTTTTGTGAGTCCAGGGGTATAATGGTAAAAGTGATGCTTCAGGCCTTTTATTGAAATAAGGATTCTATTTCAGAAGGTTTTAAGTCAAAAGAGAGTAGGTTGGATGGTGGGGTTTTTCATTACCTTTTCGAGCATATAAAGAACGCCAAATTCGGATTTGGGACGCGGGAGTTATGACCATTAGAAGTTAGGAAGGATTTTAGGTTTAGACTAGTACGTTGGGCGTACAGGGTGATTGGGCGTACTACGCTTAAATGATCACGGAGGTTCACCGTGGTACGCTTGGCGTTCTTGGACTACACATGACTTATGTGAAGCAGACTCAAAATCTAATATTTGGGTCTTGGACCCTATTTAAATACCTTAATTATTGTAAATCCTTCTTACCTTCATCCTCCGTCCTCTCTAACCCTAAATTCGAAACCCCAGCCCTATTTGTGAGATCCTTGAGCTTTTGAGTGTTTTGGAGAGTTCTTGGTGCATCTTGGAGAAGAAGGAGCTCCTTAGAGAAGTGTTGGTTGTCTTGGAGCTTGTAGATCCAAACCTTGTTCACCTTGATCATTCTTCTAGAGGTATAAAGCTTCAATCTTGATGGTTCTTTTATATAGATCTAGCTTAGGTTATATTATGAGCATGTTTTTGTCCCATGGGTTGGATCTTGTGCGTAGAAGTTACCCTGAAACCTTTGAGCCTCATTTATGGTCATTGTTGAGGACATTATGTTATAAAAATCGAATCTTTATGGGCATATCTTTTACATGCATGAGTTAATGGTCTTTTGGTGAAGTTTTGAATCTAGGGCTTTGGTTTGGGCACCATTAAGCCATGCAAAGTCATAAAGTCAGGAACTTTATGACTTAAGACGTCCCTTAGAATCATATTTGGGTGTTGGATCTAAAGTCTTAAGGTATTAAGAATTAGATGTTAGTTTGGGCATCAACGATTTACGATGGGCGTACCCTCCTGGTACGTTGTGCATAATGGGTTCAACCCGTTAACTGTCCCTTCGATAACGTTGTATGTTGAGCATACCATGCTGGTATGCAGGGCATACTCACTAGAAGCCATCTTGGGTCATTTTGGGTTTGGGCCATGATTTGTTGGGCCAAGTATGGGAAAGGGTATAATAGTCTTTTACCTCTTAACATGATATGATATGGTTGGACCTTTTGATTTCGGGTTATTACCCTAATTATTGATTAGGAATGATACGGGTTACGTTTGGTATGAAAAGCCATGGTAGCAGCAACTCGAGTGTGTGATTGTTGACATCGGATTGAAGTGAGTCTTCTCACAGTGTTTGGCGGGTCGAAGGCACCAATATCGGCCCATTGATTATTGTTATTAGAATGTTAGTTGTCTGTGTGACTCTTTCATGTATTGTATATGTTTGTATGTATATTGGGCGGGGCTCGATGTCAGGCGGGGCCTGCTAAATGTGGTACGCAGGGCCCATGACATGTTACGATCAGATCTGTACCGGCGCGGGGCCCAATGGATGTCAGACGAGGCCCATTGTATGTATGGTATGTGGTATTTTGGGTAAACTCACTAAGATTTGTGCTTACAGTTTTATGGTTATGGTTTCAGGTACTTCCAGTTCGAAAGGGAAGGGTCTGGCGTGACTGCACAGCATCCCCTAGAGATTTATTCCACAGTAGTTGTTTATGACTTTTACTCTAATGTTTAATTAATATATTCATTTTGACTGGTTTTGGAACATCTCGTTTGTATGGTTTATTGTTTTAAAAATGAAAAAATTCTAATAATAGTTGGGACGTTACAATTAATCTTTATTTCCATTATTTCTAGTGGATCAAAATTTCATTTATAAGGCTAACAAGACATGTAAGTTAGCTTTACTTTATGGTCTGAAAACATGGGTTAATGAGAACTTAAACTTGAAGACTTTTTACATAAATTAACACTTAATTCATTTAGGGTTAAGTTAGCATCTCAACCCCAAAAGCACTTATCCACGTGTCTAGGCTTGAAATCTGATCCTACTTAGCACCACCACCTTCTGGTGGTTCGATGGTGGTGTTATGATGGTCAACTGAGGTAAAACCACAATCCAAACATAGTATGTTGATATAAAGGGACATATCTCAAGTTTTGACCTAATCTTCAAATCCATGAAAACAAGGACCAGAAGTTGCACCATGAGGCGCCACCCACTACCACCCTCACATGGTGCCCAATGGTGGTCGGCTTGGGTGGCCACGGTCTGCGACCATGGTGGCTTTACGGTGTGATGAAGAAAATCGGCCCAAAAAAAGAAGATGAGAAATTGATGCATTTTATCAACTTACTTGGTCTATGATCATCACTCTCAAGCTTTTCTCACTTTCTCCCACTTGCGATCAACCTGCTCAACCCATTTTTTCGGTCACAACCCCCTTCTTGATCCATTTTTCTATCCCGATCTTCCTTCGGCCACATAACATATCCACAAACACCAAATACCACACACACACACACACACACACACATATATATATATATATATATATATATATATATATATATATATATATATATATATATATATACATATACACACACACACACTCACACACACACGACTAGGGTTTGGTTTAACGGCCTAATAGATTTATATTTAGATGGAGTAGGCAAATAGAACTAGTCCAGATCCTATTCTCGCTGATAAGAGGCTTCAATTTCAGACTTTACACTTTCAGCCCCAACTTTTCCATAATGGCACTTTTAACCCCAAAACATTTTTCTTTGCAAAAGATAGTTTAAACCTTGACATTTCAACCCCTGATAAATCATTATCATTCATTACGGTATTTAAGTGCTATTTTATTTTATCATATTTAATTTATTTGTTTATTTATTTTTAACCACTTTATAATTTATCGAATGCCTTTTAATAGTTTATTCATTGATATAAATCTTTAAAAATATTCATTCCTAATTACTTCATTATTATTTACAATTATTATTATTTAATAAATTCGCTTTTGTTGTCTCATTAAGGATACAAACATTGTCTGTCATACGTTCAAGATACCCTTGAAATTTGTCCAGATATTCAGAGTGAGAAGATGTATGAAAGCGAATTTCCTCAATATCATCAGCTACCATCTGAGCAGTTAGTCTAATGCGTTCAGGCTCAGGTTTAGATGTATTTGCTTTATTTGTATTTGTTGGAGTACCATTGTCTTGAGGAGGATCCGGTGGAAAAGAAGAGAAGTTAGCTTCTTGAGTATCATCATGTTCTTGAGACTTTTTTTTGAGGTGAGGGAGAGTAATCATCAAGATCAATGCTGAATGTCCTGGTAGAAGGTTTGGAGTATAGAACAATTGACATGTTGTGTGGTTCATCATTGACTATCAGTCCTTCACTGGGAGGTATGTCTACCGCTTGCATTGGAGTATCTTCATCTTGATTATCTTGTACTGGAAAGCTTTTAGGGAGAGATTCAAGTTCATATGGCTTTTCACCATCTTGGTCATCGTCCTCAAGTGAGTTATAATCCAAGGAGACACGATTTCTTGGACTTTCTAGAACCTAATGAAAGCCTGCTGGTGAAACTGGAGTTGGGGAGGATGGTTTGTCATAATCAGATGGAGCCTGAAATAAGGAATCTAAGAAAGATAGTGGCTTAGAGGTTGTATGAAATTTAGGAGGAGATGTGGGCTCATCTAAATCTACTCCAAGATTATCATTAGAGACGGCTGGAGATGGGATAGGAGGCAGTTGATCTAACTTTGATCGCTTCTTCTTCTTTGCCAACTTCTTGGATGCATGATCTGAGTGCTTCCTTTTCCTTTTAGGAGACGAAGTAGTTCCATGGATGTATTTTTGATATGAGCGTAGAGAGACACTATTTTTATCCAGCTTTGCAAGTATAGCATCTGGAATGATGACTGGATGTGAAGACTCAGATTCAGATGCAGTACAAATCCTATATGGTGGAATATGCAAGAATTATGGCAGTGGGCCTTTTGGAGTCTCCTCTGGTGTAAGATTGCTAGTATTGATGACATCATGAATAATGATAGACCACCAACGACGATGATGAATCAGGAACTTATTCTTTGAGGCAGGGAGAAAGGTAAGGAAGTATTCCCAAAGAATAAACGTGTAGTCAACATTGATGTCATAGAAAAGGCCATACATGATAATCCAAAGATTTGTTTTACCGCGACTGCGTCCACCAACTGATCCGAAAAGACACCGAGTGAGGACGGAACTGAGAAAGTGTCATGGTGTGGGAAAGAAAGCTTTCCTAATTCTTGAAAGATTTGGTTCAAAGTTTTCTTCAAATTTGTAACCCATTTCCTTGAACATTGTCAACAATTAAGCAGAAGAAGGCATGACAAATGTTGTAGGTTTACGAGAACCATCGCTTAGACCCAAACTGATTGTGAACTCTTCTTTAGTTATAACCAAGTTAGTTCGAAAAAGATCAAATTTGACATCAAGCTGTTTTGAATTTGCTCATGGAGAGATGGATGCAGATTGAAAGACGTCTGAAACAAGAGATTGTGGAGTTGGAGAAGTAGAAAGGAGTGCATATGCCAATGGGCACTTTTACAAATATTCAACTATAACACTGACTTTTGTAGGTTGTTCTTGAGTGTTGGGTCTAAAAATATGGTTTATACTTTACTTTTCTAGGCTTTAATAGTTTTTGGTCTAGAACCGAAAACAGCCTTGGGTTTACGGTTCATGTGGTGTTTGCGGTTGGGTGTGTTTGCGGCTGAAAACTCGTTTGCAGTTGTAAACATGTTTACGGTTGTAAACGTGTTTGCAGCCACTGTTCCTTATATATATATATAGTGTCAGTAGAGTCATAAAAAAAGGGGGGCTAAGTGTGTGTAAATCAAGGTGTTCTAGAGAGAGAAAGTGAGAGAGAAGAAGAGTGTGTGTGTGATTGACTGTGGATGGTTTGAATTATATGATATACCATAACATAATTATTCTGGAAGTCAAAACATGCAAAAATTGAAATGGTAGTAAACGATTGACAGAAGATAGTAACACTTTACATATAAATAAACAACAACTTTTATTTATCATCAAATGTCAATTACACTTTACAAATTTCAAAAGCTATCTAATTTCTAAAACTAATATCATCTTTTAGCCCGATGCGCCTCACATGCTGAAATGGTATGTGATAGTGAGTCCTTCTTCTATTCGATGTCTAATGAAATGGTATTTTCTGTTGATGTGTCTGGATCTCCCGTGATCCCTTGGTTCCTTGGCTAAGGCAACTGCACTTTCACTATCACAAAAAATCTCCATAGGCTCCTTTATAGCTGGTACAACTACAAGGTCTCGAATGAAGTTCTTCAGCCATATTGCCTCCTTCGCTGCCTCGCTTGCTGCTATGTACTCTGATTCGCAAGTTGAATCAGCCACTGTCTCCTGCTAGGAACTTTTCCAAGTAATTTCTCCTCCGTTTAAGGTAAAGACCCAGCCTGACTGAGAGTGGAAATTATCCCTATCAGTCTGGAAGCTAGCATCACTATACCCTACTACTCTCAAGTCATCACTCCCACCGAGGGTAAGGACCCGGTCCTTAGTCCTCCGCAGGTACTTGAGAATGTTCTTTACCGTAGTCCAGTGAGCCTTTCCAGGATTCCCCTGATATCTGCTGACCATGCTCAAAGCAAAGGTCACATCAGGACGAGTACAAGTCATAGCATACATGATCGAGCCTACAGTGGAAGCATACGGTACTCTACTCATCTCAACTATCTCAGCCTCTGTACTCGGGCTCTGAGTCTTACTCAGTCTGGCGTTACTCTGGATCGGTAACTCTCCTTTCTTGGAATCCTGCATGCTGATCCTATTCAGCACCTTATCCAAGTAGGTACTTTGACTAAGTCCAATTAGTCTCTTACTCCTGTCTCTCAAAATCCTTATCCCTAGGGTATAGGCAGCTTCTCCAAGGCCCTTCATAGCGAAACACTTCCCAAGCCAGGACTTAACTTCCTGCAGGGTTGGGATGTCATTTCCTATGAGTAGTATGTCATCCACATACAATACCAAAAAGCTAACTATTCTCCCACTAGCCTTGACATATACACATGACTCATCTTCGCTCCTCGAAAAACCAAACTCTTTGAATTTCTCATCGAAGCAAAGATTCCATCTGTGAGGTGCTTGGTTCAATCCATAGATGGATTTCTCAAGCTTACACACTCTATTAGGATGCTCTATACTGACAAAACCCTCTGGCTGACTCATGTAAACATCCGCAGCCAACTTTCCATTAAGGAAATCGGTTTTGACATCCATTTGCCATATTTCATAGTCATGAAATGCAGCAATGGCTAACATAACCCTAATAGACTTAATCTTTGCTACTGATGAAAATGTCTCATCATAGTTAACTCCCGGAGTTTGAGAAAAGCCCTTTGCAACCAGTCGTGCCTTATAAGTGTGTACATTCCCATCCATGTCGGTCTTCTTCTTGAAGATCCATTTGCACCCGACTGTCTTACAACTTGGTACATTGTCAATCAAGTTCCAAACTTGATTGTCATACATGGACTGTATCTCGATGAACATAGCCTCTTTCCATTTAGCAGATTCGGGGCCTGCCATGGCTTCCGTGTAGCTGTTAGGTTCATCCAAACTTACCAGTGTACTATCACTGATAAGTGTATCACCTTCCGTAGAAATATGGAAACCATAGTAATGCTCAGGTGCATTCCTAACTCTCGTGGAACGCCTCAAAGGTACAGACTCGTCAGTTGGATCAACAGGAGTTTCCTCCTCAGGTTGATTGCTAGGGTTTGAGGTTCCTTCACCACTTGACTCTTGAATTTCTTCAAGGTCAATTTGCCTCCCACTGTCTCCTTGGCTTATGAACTCTCTCTCGCGAAAGACTCATCTCCTTGCCACAAAGACCACATTATCACTGGGTCTATAGAAGAGGTAACCAAAGGATTTCTATGGGTAGCCGATGAAAATACACCGCTCACTCCGAGGTTCGAGCTTATCGTAAGTCTCGCGCCTCACAAAAGCCTCGCAACCCCAAATCTTGATGTGGTCCAAATTGGGAATTTTTCCAATCCACATCTCGTGAGGTGTTTTGGCAACCTTTTTGGTAGGGACTAGATTAAGGATGTGGGCGGCAGTCTCCAAGGCATACCCCCACAATGAGATTGGTAGCGAAGCTCGACTCATCATGGAACGAACCATGTCCAACAAGGTTCGATTACGCCTCTCAGCCACACCATTAAGCTGTGGTGTTCTGGGAGGTGTCAATTGTGAGACAATCCCACATTCCTTAAGATAGTCAAGGAACTCTGTACTAAGATACTCACCACCTCGATCGGATCGAAGCATCTTAATGTTCCTGCCCAGCTGATTCTCCACTTCCTGTTTAAATTCATTGAACTTTTCAAAGGTTTATGACTTATGCTTGATTAATTAAACATAACCATATCTACTGTAATCATCAGTAAAAGTCACATAGAAGCGGTTAGCATCCCTTCTGGCGGTTCTGAAGGGTCCACACACATCTGTGTGTACAAGATCCAACAAACCTTCACCCCTAGCACAGGTACCAGTGAAGCGTGACTTGGTCATTTTTCCAAGTAAACAAGATTCAAAATTATCATCCGACTTTAGGTCAAATGACTCCAAGACTCCATCCTTTTGGAGTTGGCCTATGCGTTTCTTGCTCACATGTCCAAGACGACGATGCCATAATGATGCTTTATCCAAGCTAGTGGAAGAATCGATACACAACACATTATTTCCTAGGTTATCTACAACCGACACAGTTTCATATACACCATCACAAGGTAATGCTTTAAAATAAAGAACATTATTATAGAAAGCATTAATACCACCACATTCATTATCAAATGAAAAAGTAAATCCTTGTTTGTACAAACCGTGAAAGGGAATAATATTTCTCGCCATTTCAGACGAGTAACAACATGTATTCAAATCTTATGTTAACCCACTACTTAGCAACCAAGAATAAACTCCAATCTTGGTGACAGGTGTAACTTTCCTATTCCCAATGATCAAGTTTATCTTCTCATGCTCCTCATTCTCACTTCTTCTTAGTCCCTGCAAATCAGAACATATGTGAATACCACAACCTGTATCAAGGACCCCAAGAATTAGAATAGGGTGACTTATTAGACAATATAGTGTAAATACCTACATGGTTGGGTTTTACTTTCCCATCCTTAACATCTTGCAAGTACTTTGGGCAGTTTCGCTTCCAGTGCGCCTTTTCATGGCAATAGAAGCATTCAGCCTCTTTAGGGTTGGCAGAAGGAGTGACAGAACCACCTTTGGTTCTACTTGAAGAGGAGCCATCAAGAGACTTTCCCTTGGTACCCTTCGAAGGGCTCTTCCTCTTCTTCCCTTTACCTTGCCCGATAGCCAGAACAAGGGCAGTGGTAGGAGTTGAAGTAGTAACAACCGACTTACCTTTAAGACCACTTTCGGCGGTCTTCAAAAGTCCTTGAAGTTTGCTGAGTGTGACCTCCTCCTTGTTCATATGATAGGTCATTCGGAATTGATCATAACAAGAAGGTAAGGAGTGTAATATGATGTCAATTGCCAACTCCTCGGGGAAGTTCACATTCAACTTCATCAGACGGTCCACAAACCTTTGCATTTTCTGCATGTGGCCGGTTATGGGTTCACCATCTTTCATTCGGGTTGTTATCATGAAGGAGATTATTTCATATCGCCCTTGACGAGCACTCTGATGGTATCTTTCCATCAAATCCTGGTGCATCTCAAAAGGATAAAAGTCCTCATAGGACTTTTGGAGCTCGGCTGTCATCGTGGCCAGCATGATACATGCCACTTTAGTGGCAGCTCTCTCATGAGTCCTGAAGTCAGCGATCTCCTCGGGAGTAGCAAAAGACTCATCAAGTTCCTTCAGCTCCTTGTCGAGGACATATTTCTTGTCCTCATAGCGAGTGACCATCCTTATGTTCCTAATCTAATCATTGAAATTAGTCCCATCAAAGATGACTCTCCCACAAAGGTTCATGAGAGAGAAGGAGCCGGTAGGGTTTGAGCCAGAAGCAGCATTGTTGGAAGACATCTGAAAAGGAAGAAAGACAAGTTTAGATTAGATATAAAGATAGTCCTTAATAAGACACCCAAATGTAATATTAAGGCTAGGACCCAACACAATTTTTTATAACTTAGAAGAGGGATGCCGTAATCCAAGTTATAAAATATTTGAAGGTAGGTGAATGACGATTCACCAAT